GCTGTTAAAGCCTTGGTGCAAAATTATCACAAGGCAGAACAACCTTGCCCAGCGATGGGAAACCTATCCCATCGATGGGAACCCAGCGATGGTAAGGGTAAACCATCGATGGGAAGCCATGACCGTTGTAGGTCATTTAAGGTTGATTCTTTCCTTGTTTGGAAGTCAACCTCCCAACCAGCGATGGGAAGCTTGTACCCATCGATGGGTAGGTGACCGTTGACTTCAAATCTGAAGGAAAATTGGCTTACCAGCGATGGGTAAGTCCTAAACATCGATGGGAAGCCAATATTCTGCAGATCCCAAATTTAATCAATCCCATAAATCAAGCTAATCACCCCTTTAATGCATTGGTCCGTTGGAGCCTATTTTTGCACTATAAAAAGGGGTGTTTGGGTCTGCTTTTCTTACCAATTCACTTCACAATATCTATACTTTCATTGCATTCAAATATCATCATTTTCCTTAGCTTTCTAGAGCCATTTTTGTGTGAAGGTTGAGTTGTTCTTGAGCGTACTTAGTTTACTCAAAATCTACTCTATAAGAGAGTCTCGTTCTTGAGTGTACTTGTGTTCTTAGACACGTTGAGAGATAGTATCTCTCTTGGTTGATTCAAAGGAAGGTCTGTTTCCTTTGAAGGATTCGTCGAGGTTCGTGTGACTCGAACTCTCAAGTTGTAACGGTTTGTTAAGCACCCGCAAGCTTAACGAGATAGTAGTGTAGCTCGAGAGAGTCTCTCGGGAGGCTGGATTAGCCACAAGTTGTGGTGAACCAGGGTAAAATTCGGTGTGCCTTTTACTCTTCTCTTTACTTCTCTTTTTTTTTAATTCCTGCGATTTCTTCGATCAAATGCTATTCACCCCCCCTCTAGCGTTGGTCTATTATTCTAACAATTGGTATCAAAGCCTAACTCGCGTCCAAACTTAATCGTTTGAGAGTAAAGCGATCATGGGTTCTTCTTCTAGAAATCTTTATGCAGGAATTGGAGAAGGTCAATCAACCTCTAGGCCACCGCTCTTTGATGGCACCAACTACACGTATTGGAAAGAGCGGATGAGAATTTATATCCGCTCAACCATTTTTCAGTTGTGGTTGGTCATCAAGAATGGCGAGGAAATTCCAACGAAGAAGGTCGGTGAAAAACTCGTCCCAAAGACCGAGGACGAATTTGATGCCGAGGACATCAAAAAGGTGGAGAACTACGCCAAAGCAATCAACATGCTGTATTGTGCTGTCAATCCTGATGATTATCGCAAGATCTCTTGCTGCACCACTGCCA